GGAGAAGAAATTGTGGAAACGAATTTGGTGAGGAAGAAAGCAGTTTGTGACGGTAGACTGAATTCTGAAGGGAAATATGGAACCTTTTACAGTGAAAAGATCGAATCAGTCAAATATCAGAAAGACTCAAAAAAAATCGAAATAAATCTCAGTTTTCCCTTTTGCATTGAATAACAATGCATTGTAAAACAGAAAGTATTTCATACAGATTATGCAAAAAAGTGAATAATACTGTCACAAAAAGTTTTTCTATAGAAATTGGGATTAACAGAATATTTCGTGTCACTGGAAGCCTTTCATTGAATTACATAAGTTTGCATTTGTATCAGAAATAGAAGCGTATTAAGATAAGCTGTGCCATCGACTGTCATTATTTTCCATCCAGGGAAAGTTTAATTTAAAGAGAGGTTTTTTTTTCGCTGTTATACACAGATTCCCAAATTTTTATTTCGAGAAAAGTTTTTTTTAGTAGTAAATATGGCGCTCGTTTTTTCTCTCCAAACTTCGTTATAAAATTTTCGTCATACGAATGATGATAAGTATTGCATGCCTAAATATGGCTCAGTATCGCAATATTTCCTTCAATCACGATTCATCTTTAAAAACAGCAGAAATGATTCTTTTTTCTCTTTCGAAATTGATTCTTGATTCTGAATTTCTGATTTCAGAATCTGATTTGATTTCTGATTTCAGAATTGATTCTGAAGTAAATTTCGATTCACCAAATGTAAATAACTTACCCTCCAATTCGTGGTAAGGTGGATCTGAAATAAGAGGATGTTGAAAATGAAATTTGATAAAATAAATGGAAGAAAAAGAAGTAAATGATAAGTATTTCTTCAATTGTCTTTTTTTAATGTTGAAAAAATTTGGGAAAAAATTGGCATTCTGCTTGTTAACTCATTTCATTTCATCTTTTTTATAACAGAATTAGATAAATCTATTCAACAGTTAAACTAGTGGACCTTCATTGAAAACTTTGAACCATCATATACTTGAACAATACTCGGAACACTGATAGATGTAAAAGTTGAATCTATTACATATGTGAATATAAACGTGAATGCAGACGTGAATATGAAAGCACACGTGAAAACCGCATTCACATCCAAAACATGGCGATTTTGTTTTGCTTAACCTATCTACTGGATGAGTTTTCATTACCATAATGGATAATAATCCATACTTCCATAGTTCATCATATGTAAATTTGTTCTTCATCTAATATTATTCGTTATCTTAATTCTCTGAATTTATTTTTCAGCAATTAGCAACAATTTTGCTAATTTCACTGAAAAAATTTCCATTTTCATTGTTTTCCTGAAATGATTTTACTTTGAGAAAAAACGAAAACTTTTACTACGAAAGGAAAAAATCATGAAATTCCGACTTTTCTTTTTTTGTTTTAAAACTTCTTTTAGGAATAAAAAAGAAGAGCCCAAACTTTTTTTGTTAATGTCCTTTTAAAAACAAAAAAGAAATTTCAAAACTTTCATTTTCCTTTCCGGTTTTAAAGGTTAATATTTTTAAGACTTTTTTAGAAAGAAAAAAGTGGATCCATAACTTCTAAAAATTGAACTACTATCTATTTGTGAAATATACAGTTACAAGAAAACATTAATTCGAACATTTCCGCCCATTCCCTTAATTTTTTTATTCGCACTTCAAATTTTGATACCGTACCCGTCATTGTTTCTGCTAAAAAACAGTGCCTTACAAGGAAAGAAAAAATTGTATATTGTTTCATTAGGTTATCAATAATTAGATCTATGTTTTGATGAATCTGAATCTGAGATACTGATAAAGGAAAAAAAAAAACCAATTCTCTGCATAAACATATGAAGACTCAAACGGATGAGAAACTGCGCACTTGTTTTGTGTGCACGAAAAATTTTGCTCTATTACAGAATATGAGAATACACATGATGATTCATAACAATGATGGGGCCAGATTCAACTGCACTGTATGCAGCAAAGCTTTCCTGAGGAGATCCCATTTGAATTCATACATGAAGAATCACATGATGGATTGACATCGAAATTACGCATTGCTACTGAAAGTAATAATTGGTTTAAATAATTAAGTATATGTGTCCTTTTTCCATTGAAATGGATTAAAATCACGAGAATTTTTTTGGGAAAATTAGCCAAAATATAATTATATAAATCAAAATTACTACAAATTATAACAATTACAATTCGAAAATTTCAAAATTAAATGAAATAAAATTCATAACTTGCGATTATTTAAAGCATTGAACTGTGGCAATTGTATTGGTCTAAAAAGTGCGCAACTAAAATAAACAGGCGGAATTGGTGCTGGAAAAATATACGATGCTGGAATGAAAAATTTGAATCTTTCGATAGGAAGTGATATTGCTTGTGGGACTGTAAAAGGCGAGTTCACTAGTTTTTATCCGGAATAAATGTCAAACTAATTCAATATTTGCTTAAATTTGGTTTCATCCTTATTAATCTGAAAATAACATTTTCCGTGTTAGAAAAAGCACGTTTGCGATTTTTTTTTGTATATTAAAAAAATTAAGACGTTTTTCTTCAATGAAAAATAAAATTTTTTTTAATTTTACAACTATTTCCTTCAACAAATATCCTTGTAACATTTCAACAAAATAAATGGAAAGGAAAAGAATAATCCCTAAACATGTTTAATCATTTTTAAGTATTCAAATTTCTAAGTATTCCAAGTATTATTAAATTCGATGCGAATTCATTTTAAATGATAAATAAAAAAAAAAAACAATTCCAGTTATTTTGGTTAATTTTGGATTTGTAATTTCGCACAATTCTCACATTCTTTTTTTGTATATTATCTAAATCAAACTTGTTAATTGATATTTAAATTTATTTAAC